CCCTGGTGTCAATGCCAACTCAAAACCTGCCAACTCACCCAACACCGACACCACCAGCACCACCAGCACCATCATCACTCCGCCAAACTCTGCTGCCAAGTCCTGACGCTCATTTGTTATGTTTTATTTGAGTATTTTATGCCAAGAAATGTAGTTTATGTTTCCTGCTGAGTGAAAAAAAGTACAAGTGATTTCAGAGGCCAATAGAAATGAGATTGTGCAAGTTATAACTCCAAATAGTGACATAAAAAAAAAAAAAAAGAAGAAAAAAAAACTAACCAGTCCCCAAAAGTCATGCAGATTTGATTGTGTAAAGTTTTTTTTTTTTTTTTTTTTTTTTTTTTAATGTTTAGACAACAAAGATTTTTTTTGTTTTGTTTAGGCAACAAAGATTTTTATTTTTATTTTTTTTATGTTTAGGCAACAAAGATTTTTTTTATTTATTTTTTTCTTCATGTTTAGGCAACTAAGATTTTTTTTTTTTAATGTTTAGGCACCTACATTTTTATTTTATTTAATTTTTTTAATGTTTGAGCCACTAAGATTTTTTTTTTATTATTATTTATTATTTATTTTTATGTTTAGGCAACTAAGATTTTATTTTAAATTTTTTTTTTTATGTTTAAGCAACTAAGATTTGTATTTTTTAATGAATACTTCAGAACCTCAGATGTAAACAAACAGGTACCGCACAAGATCACCTCAAAACTAAATAAATGTACAAAAATAACAAAAACAACCCAAGTGTAATCAAAAACACATTCACGTACAAAGCTCCTGATCCAAAGGAACAAATCAAAATCATTCAAAAAAGATCCAAGAAACCCGGCCTCTTTTCTTTCAGTTAGGTTAAAAAAAGTTTCAGTTTTGCGAAGAATACGTAAAGTGTTTCGATGTGAAGGTGTTGGCCGTGTTGCTTCTGTCAGTCTGCCCTCAGTTGAGCGTTTTCAGAGAATGAATTATTCACAACAGAATATAATTTTGTGATGTTTTTACTACAGAAGAGGGAGAATTATGCGAAATCAATTTTTTTTTAAGCTTCTTTCTACCATGTTATGGAGAAATTAAACTGCGCGGAGACTCTAGGTGGCACATTTGGAAAAAATCGGGTCTGTGTCGAGCGAAAAAATCTAATTTGGGTCTCGTCAGGCTGCAGTCTGAACCTCGACACCGTGATCTAAATTCACGATGTGTTAGTAGTTATTACCTCCTCGTTAATTGGAGCGATACTTTTAATCAGGATTCAAATTCAATCCCGTGAACGTCCCTAATTTTCCGCCTCCCGTCTGCCTCGCGCCCAGACCAGCGCCCGCCGCCTCCTCCGCGCGTCGGTGTCTTTTACTGTGTGCTAAACCTGTATTTGAGTGTCCCCTCCATTCCAATGCAACGCCATCATCACAAACTAAGAATATCCTGGATGATCGGGAGCGGCCGGAGAACAGGTCACGGGCCCGTCACAGTGTAAATACAGCCATGACCTCAGCACTGGCTCAGTATGGGGACACACCATTCACAAACTGCCATACGTATCCTTGCACACGTCTTCGGACTCTGCCATTTTGAGTTTTGTGTCGGTAAAATGATGTACGATTGGACTCTCGTGTTTTACGTTTTGTTGTATTGTACAAAAATCCACAGGTACTCGGAGACCCCGGAAAAGGCATTTATGGGAATAGACGTATGTTTGTATGGATAGATATAACCAAAGTATATACAAGAGACTTGGTTTGTTATGTAAAGTCATGAATAAAAGTTATTCTATGAGCAACAACTCGCACTCTTCTGTTATTACAAGTACTACATCGTACGCAGTAGTAGTAGTAGTAGTAGTAGTAGTAGTAGTAGTAGTAGTAGTAGTAGTAGTAGTAGTAGAAGTAGTAGAAGTATTAGTAGCATAAGTAGTAAAGAATAGTAGTACAGTAAATAAAAATGTAGTGTAGTAAGTAAATTAAATAAATACACAAATACATAAATTAATATAATATAAAACTTAATATAACAAAAATACAGTGTAGTACTAATAGTAGTAGTAGTAGTAGTAGTAGTAGTAGTAGTAGTAGTTAATAGTAGTAGTAGTACAGTAGTAGTACAGTACAGTAGTACTAGTAGTACAAGTAGTAGTAGTAGTAGTAGTAGTAGTAGTAGTAGTAGTAGTAGTAGTAGTAGTAGTAGTAGTAGTAGTAGTAGTAGTAGTAGTAGTAGTAGTAGTAGTAGTAGTAGTAGTAGTAGTAGTAGTAGTAGTAGTAGTAGTAGTACAGTAGTAGTAGTAGTAGTAGTAGTAGTAGTAGTAGTAGTAGTAGTAGTAGTAGTAGTAGTAGTAGTAGTAGTAGTAGTAGTAGTAGTAGTAGTAGTCAGTAGTAGTAGTAGTAGTAGTAGTAGTACAGTAGTAGTAGTAGTAGTAGTAGTAGTAGTAGTAGTAGTAGTAGTAGTAGTAGTAGTAGTAGTAGTAGTAGTAGTAGTAGTAGTAGTAGTAGCAGTAGTAGTAGTAGTAGTAGTAGTAGTAGTAGTAGTAGTAGTAGTAGTAGTAGTAGTAGTAGTAGTAGTAGTAGTAGTCAGTAGTAGTAGTACAGTAGTAGTAGTAGTGGTACTCAGTTACTTTTACACGAGTACACGGAGTCTGACTTGGGTAGTACTTTCCCAGAATACTTGAATACTTTTTCTTGTACCACTACTTTGTACTTGTACTCGAGTCATTTAGAGGTGACGTTACTTTTACTTCAGTACAGTATGTGCGTCCCCTTCACCTCTGATCAGAGTACACGGTTCATAGTACTGGCGCGTGTAAAGTACTATAAATAGTGCGTGTAGCAGTAGGACCGCATTCCTCGCGCCCTGCGTCAGTTTGAACGGGAAACGCGCAAACATCCGGGACTCTCCAGGATTTTATAGCATAATGTACGATATAAAACGAGACATTAGACATTCCGCGAGGTAAAAGTTTTACCGCAGCGGCGCACGCACGTTTACGTACGAGCACGAAGCACAGGTGTGAGGAAGTCCAAACATGGGCGTAAACGGACCTGGAGCGAAGGCGACGCGACCGGAAACGAGCCGCGCTGCCTTCAAAATAAAACTGGAATAGAAGAGTAGCCCTATACATCGTGTGAGTAATGGCACACACAAACCTACGTGAAATTGGCCCCCATCAAACGCACACCTACACAAAAACTATGTCAGTCGTTTGTGCCGTTTTGTGCTGCAAAAAGTTTTGTTCGTGCTGTTTTAGTTTTTGAGGTATTAACGATTTTTTTAAAGGTCAAATTAGGGTCAGCCAGCCTCCGGGAAACTTCAAAATGTTCTAAAACGACACAAAATAGAGTCAGTTGTTTGCGTTTCGTTTGTGCTGCGAAAAGTTTCATTTGTGCGATTCTGGTTCTTAAGATATTATGAGTTTTATTTTGGGCCGATGACGTTTATCCAGGATGGCGCCACCTAGTGCCTCCGCTCAATTTCATTTCTCTCCAGCGACTAGGTCAGGAATCAGAATACACTAGACGGTTCACAAAAACCCCGGAAGTGCGAGTTCCTGCACCAGACAATCACCGAAGAGTCAGACATTCTGTGTTGTCAACGATTCCCGAGATCGAGGATTTAAAGCCGGAACAAAGAGAATGTTTGGTGAATTTTATCAAGGGGAAAGACGTTATTGTCCTTTTTCCTACGGGATTTGGAAAAAGCTTAATATACCAGTTAGCCCCGTTAGTGGAGCATTACATACGTCACGACCAAACAGCAGCGATTGGTTAAATAAAAAAAAAGTACCCGCCTACCGTCGAGCGAACGAATCCTAATGCTGCGAGGTCACACGGTTTCTACGAAGTGAAACCTGGTTTAATCCTGGTTTTGTCTTGTTTTAGTCCTGGTTTAGCCCTGGTTTAGTCCTGGTTTAGTCCTGGTTTAGTCCTGGTTTAGTCCTGGTTGGTTCAGACGTATTTTTGACAGTCGAGTCACGTCGGTGAATTCGTGTTTCATACTGACGAAAGTGTAATCGTGATTGTAATTCTTGACGTCGTAACTTTTCAATTCATGTTCTGATGGATAAAATACACAACACATTTTATATACGACTGGACTCATTTGAGAGTTTACAGATATTTATTTTATGCTCAACTACAGACAAACATGCACAGATTTCTATCCTATGCACACAAATATTTCTGAAAGTTTTTTTTTACTCCATATATATGAGTTAAATGACAAAATTCAACCGCGGTGAAAAAAAAAATAGGCTAATCAAGGCTCATGACTGAAACCCTTGAATATTTTTCCACATAAAATCATTTAAATAAAAAGGTCATGATCTGGTGATGATGACGTTTTAAAACTAAACCAGATGCAGAAGTTGAACAGTGCGCTTTATTACGTCCGCCAAGGAGGTTATGTTTTTGCCGACGTTTGTTTGTTTGTTTGTCTGTTTGTTTGTTTGTTTGTTTGTCTGTTAGCAACATAACTCAAAAAGTTATGGACCGATTTTGATGAAATTTTCAGGATTTGTTAGAAGTGTGAAAAGGAAGAACTGATTTCATTTTGGGGCTGATCCGGAAGAAATCCCGGATTCTGGATCACTTTGAAATTTTAGTTAACATTGTGGTAAATGGGGCCAAAAATTTAGTTTCTCAATATCTGGGTTAATTATTGACCAAACCCCATGAAATTTGACTCAGGGATGGACAATGGGATCCTCTTTCATATTCCAAATTGAAAGATACGAGACAAATATTTATGGAAAACACAATTAATATGAGGGGGACTGTAGTCCTTGGCGGAGGTCTGCGCTCTCTGACTGCTTTTCTACTTTCCAGAGCGCAGACTTCACCGTGACCTCTGCAGTCTGCGTAACGATCTCCACGATGTTCTCCACCTGTTGCGCTTTTACTGCGCCAGCTCTGACCGGAAACACTTCGGTCCACCTCCGCGCGCTGCCCCCGCCCCCTCCCCCTCCCCTTCCCCACCCCCCTCGTACCCCTCCCCGGGTGCGTGCCATGCGTGCGTCCCCGGAGCGCAGGAGGAGCAGGTCGCCCGGAGTTGCGGCTCAGATTTTGTGTTTGCGTCTCCTCCACTTTTAAACTTTTTTTTTTTTTTTTTACCTGCGCGTCACCGGCTCCTGCGCGCACCTGACAGCCCCGCTCCTACCCGCGCGTGGGCCACTTCTCCCGGCCTCACCTTGACAGAAACCCCGGGGACTGTCTCTGCTCTGGCTCTGGATCAGTCAGTGGAGCGCGGCGGCGGCGGCGGCGGCGGTGGTGGTGGTGGTTCGTTGGAGTGCGCCCCACATGAGGAGGAGGAGCGGGCTGTGAGCGCTCGGACCTCCGCCTGAACTCGGAAATACGTGAGTTTTTCGAGCATAAACAAAAAAAACCAGACACTCAAACGATCTCTCACAATCATTTTAAAGCTTCCACGTGACGCTTTTCTCTGTTTATCTGTGTTTAAAAAGTTGTTTACGTGTCAAAAATCTACCTGGAGTTTTGTTTCATTCACTCACCTTGCAGATTTAGACAGAAAACACTCATGATCTGGGTAATTTCAGTCCTGGAATTGGTCATTTTTTACTAAACACGAGGTAAAAACTACAAAGTGGAACAGCATTTTGAGCTTTGGAGATGCACAGACTATTAATAAAGAGTTACTCAAACATGTGTGAATGAAACAAAACAACTCCAGGCGTGTTATTTTGAGGAGGTAACAGCATTAGAACATGGTTTAAAGCTCCACAAGAGTCAAAAAACTAAATCTAGTCAAGTTAAAGTGACTTGAATTAAGAAAGTTTTATTGTGATTTGAGGAAATTTCACTTGACACTTGAGTTTTTGTACTGAAAATCCATCTTGCTGCGCTTAAAATGAGAAAAAACAACAACTATTTTGCGCTTAAAATAAGAAACGGAATCGAATGTTGCTCGACTGAAGTAAAACACAATCTGTGTGTCGTTCGTTCATTCGTTTTTTTTAAAATAAAAGCAAAAATAAGAAAATGAAAAAACAACAATTTCTTCACTGTTTGTCTCTAAAACCAAAATGATAAAACAGAAAACGATTTTTAAGTTTTCGATTTTGTGTTTAAATGAAAAATGGAAAAAACGGATAACGGACGTTTCTCGTTTTCGTGATTTAAACTGTGATGCCGGACTGAACCAGGACTAAAACAGGACTAAAACAGGACTAAACCAGGACTAAACCTGGACTGAACCAGGACTAAACCTGGACTGAACCAGGACTAAAACAGGACTGAAACCAGGACTAAAACAGGACTAAACCAGGACTAAAACAGGACTAAACCAGGACTGAAACCAGGACTAAAACAGGACTAAACCAGGACTAAACCAGGACTAAACCAGGACTAAAACAGGACTAAACCAGGACTAAACCAGGACTAAAACAGGACTAAAACTAGGACTAAACCAGGACTGAACCAGGACTAAACCAGGACTAAACCAGGACTAAAAACAGGACTAAAGAAACCAGGACTAAAACTAAACAGGACTGAAACCAGGACTAAACCAGGACTAACCAGGACTAAACCAGGACTAAACCAGGACTAAACCAGGACTGAACTAGGACTAAAACAGGACTAAACCAGAACTAAACCAGGACTAAACCAGGACTAACCTAGGACTGATTCCAGGACTGAAGAGGAGGACTAATCCAGGACTGAACTAGGACTAAACCAGGACTAAAACAGGACTAAAACAGGACTGAACTGGTCTCAGTCCTTGTCTGGTCCTGGTCCTGGTCCTGTCCTGGTCTCAGTCCTGGTCTCGGTCCCGG